CTTCATCTTCTTCTGTGACCTGGCTAACAGCCAGAGTGCCTGCATCTGCATGAACAGCACCTCGCAAGAGCTGTGGGTTAGCTGTACAAACAGCTGATCCACGGCAGCGCGCGACTCCTGTGACAGGTATGTCTCTACCTGCTAGACTTCACAGCTTTAAGTTAGGCACTCCACACAGGGAGGCTGAAGCAAAAAGAGGTTTCAAGAATGGGGGAAGGCTGGGCACCCAACTGCTGCTGCTTCCAGCAGAAAAAGGGATAGAGAGGATGCAGACCCTTAGCGGGTTGCAGCAAAATGTATCCTTACATCGCAGTAAAACCCTTTGCACCTCCTTGATTGGTCTCTTTTCAAGCCTGAACAACAGAATTCTATACTGTCTCTGTTTATCCTAAAATGGAGTACAGTAGCACGCTCTCCGTCTTAAAGAAATGTGTGCCCAGCAGCATTATCAGATATCTCTTCATTTCATAGTGTATATAATGAGGATAACAGTTTAAAAAAAGAAGCAATCGCCTGTAATTACATATTCCCTATTACATACAAAAGCTTACTAAAATTCAAGGATACACTTGAAACTCTGAATGCTCACAGCCTTTCATACCTTTCTTTTAGATAAATTTGTATTGCCTTTTAATTATTTTAGATGCTTTGTGGCCTGGCTGATGTTATTTCAATCATTATTTTAAAATAAAATTCCAGATCACCTGCAACCATGCAATCTAGCAACAGAATGGGAAAGAGCAAAGATGTAATATTCTCCTTTAACAAATATCATGAAGGTTATCATCTAACCAGAGCATACATTGGTGTAATTCATACATATGCTCCTCTTCAGACAACCAATTAACAAACTAAAGAAAAATTAGATTAGTTTTTTATGTTCCACATGCAACTGGAAATGGAAAACACCATTATTTCTAGCAATTCTCATCTACACTATAAACTCAAATGCACTTATTCTGGCTACCTTTTCTTCCCTAAAACACACATAAATTACAACAGCTACTTCTCTTCCACTTTATGCTAAATATGAACTGTTTGGGGCGGTTGCAACAATAGCATTATTTTGCATGGCTAGCCTAGAAACAGTAAGTGAAGCAAGCATCAAATAACAGAAGAAGAAAGCGTCACAAATTTAGAACTGGAGCTAAGCAGAATGTGAAACTTGATGGTTTAGTATATTTTTTTCTCTGTTTGTTTGGGTTTTTTATTATTATTCCTGATGTATATACACCCAAGCAAAAAAAACAAAAAAAATTATTCTCACACAGAGTCCCCACAAAACACATGGTGCTGGGATCCCATAATGGTGTCACCTGGAAGGATCATCATTCCCTATTTGCCCATCTCCACTAACTATCCCAGTCACCACGTTTACCTTGACCACCTCGATACCCAGGGGAAGCATGTGGTCCATGCTTTGTCTGTAAATCACCTGTCTTTGAGCCAGGGAAGCCTGGGACCTTCTTCCTATCAGCAAGCACAGACACTGGTGTTACGGGGGTAACCATTTTCATTGTGGCCAGTGTTGGGTACTTATTTTGTTAACTAACAACAATAACAAATTACCCACATAACGCACATAGGCTGACGAAGGCCATCAAAGAGGAGCTGGCCTGGGCTGACCTGCCCCAGAGCCCCGCCATCAGACCTGGGTGTCATTCTGGAGAGGCCCTGGCTGCGTGCCACAGAGAACATACCCAGTGCTCGCAGGAGCCCAGCTGTGTTACGCTCCATCTGCCTCGCTTGCCCTCCCTCGCAGCAGAGGAGCTTGTGGAGGGAGGTCTCATAACCCCCGGGGAAGCCAGAAGCTGCTTCTTGCGCTTCTACAGCTAAAAGCGGTGAAAGATGCACTGGCCCAAATGGGACAACACAATTTTTTCAAAAGGCCCACTCACTCATCACAAAACATGAAAAGAGAAGACTACTTAACATTGTTTTGGCAAAATATTCTTCATTAATGTCCACTAAATACCAGCGGGTAACCATTAATTCTTACGGGATAGAGGAAAATAGCAAGACGCAGAGCGAAATGCACCACCTGTGGAAAATGTTACCCTTTATACAATAAAATAATCATTAAATAGTGGAATTCATAATAGAAGAATCTTTGTTAATTGGGATAACAAGAGTAAAATTTAAAAATGGAAATTCCTATTGCTTTTTTACAAAATAGGCCCCGGAGGCTGCTATGATTTTGGTTTTCTAAGTGTGAGTTGTTCTTTGTTAGAATCCTCTGCCACTCCTGTTTATTCTGCAAAAATCAACTCCCCAAATACTCTAATAATGTTGCAGTAACAGCATTTAAAACAGCAAGAAGAGGGAATGTTCTGATGGAAACCCAAGAAGAAAACTATGCCATTGCTTTGCTAGCTTCACAGTAAGATTGTTTTTTAATGCCAAATACAAATTTCTCTTTCAGCAATTTTAGCCCCTACCCTTTATCCTTTTTGTCCTTATAAACCCTTTATTATTTCAGTCATAGAGTTGAAGAATCACACTGATGGGAGCCTCACCTAGCCCAGCTCCTGCTCCACGCAGAGCCAGCTGCTAAGGTCCATCAGGCTGCCGAGTGCCTACTCCAGGTGAGTCTCAAAAACCTCCGAAGATGGCTGGAGGTTCTACCACCTGCCTGGTCACGCTGTTCCCGTGCTTCCCCAGGGAGCCTGTCTACGTTCAAACCAAATGACAGCTTACTCGATGGAGGAATCCTGTGAATTTTGTTTTCATTTGATTTTTAGAGTGCTTTCAGTTTTTTTCCCTAAGTTGGGTGTTAGAAAAATTAAAGCTACCAATGATGCTCTAAAGCGTTAGGAGACTCACCCTGTGAAGTTTACAGATCCAAAAGTCCAAATGGCGAGGACAATCTATCTACTTTTGCTTTAAAAATATGAATTTCTTAAAGAATTTGCACAGAGTAATATATTTTGGAACGAGAAGTAAACACAAAAATAAGATGTCCTGGAAGCACCAGTTTTAGTGTGCTACTGCACCAAGTCTGACACACACAAACTGGTGTCAGCACTAGAAGCCACAATACTCCAGTACCAGACCAATATCTACTGGCCTCGTGTCCCATAAACATTCTCTCTCAACTACGATTTAGTTTCACCTCACGGCTGCCGACATTTCCGATCTCAGGCTCTGCTTCCCACCACATCACACACACCAGAAAAATACTCTTACCTTCTTCGCTTGTGCCCTGCGTACGTCCCACTTGCCAGCCACAAGCCTTGCTTCAACAAATCCCAGGGACCCAGGGCAACCCAGGCAGAAACACAAACGTGGTCCACTTTTCCTTTCTCGCTGTTCTCCGCCAAGTTATTACAGTAAAATTGTGAAGGGAAAAGAGTAATTAGTGGTGGAGCAAACACAAGGAAATGCAAGCATGCAAGCTAGGGCTGGGCAGGACAGTATCGTGCAGCAATTAGATTAATTTACACCACCCAGTACAAGTCTTAAATGACTCATGCAAAAGAACACCTCATTTTCCATTTTTCTTTTCCCTTTTGTTACACCAAAGCTTGGTCGGGCACAGGGCTGGCTGTCATTATGGACAGGCTTTGCTTCAGCTAGGAAACCGAGCACAGACAGTACTTCAGGCGTGGAAACTACAGCACCAACAATGTGAACACACCCAAATCCCCATGAAGGCCCTCAGCAGACTAAGTCAGTCTGCCATAGAGCAGATGCATACACAGACTAGGTCAGTCTGCTGTGGAGCACTTGCACACAGCGCCATTTTGGAGCTCCTGCCCAAAACCACTAAGTTTAGCAACTATAAGAAAGTTAACAAAATAAATTCATTTGCTGGTGCAAAAAAAGTCAAGTTACATCTGGAAGGACAAACCTAAGCACAAATGGTTCAAGTTTCACAAACCCCCAAGATCAGAAGAGGTCCTTCAACTTCCACTGTAAAACTCGTCCTCATGCAGCGCGCCCCTGGGCAGCGAACCCAAAATGCTGGTTTGTGTGAAGGGACCGTCACCTGAAGCATTTCTGGTTAGCTGTGCAGTCCTCTGTGAGACCTAAAGCAGAAACGCTTCAGGTGACAATCGCTGATCTCCAACATCTCCTGCTTCAGGCACTAAGAGGGAAGTTTTCCCCACAAAGCCAAAACACCAAGTTGACATTATCTTCAGATATAAACTTTCAACAGCCAAGCTTTAATATACATTTTACTTCTATCACTACGAGACTGACGAATACACTGTTTTTCACAGCTTTCAGTTCATTCTCCAAGGAGTAGCATACAACAGAAAAAAATGTTAAGAGCTTAACTTTTTTCAAATTTTTATTCAACAACCTGCTTACAGTAAATGCATAGAATTACCCAAAAGCCTACATTAAACACTATACAAAATATTAACACTGTTGAGGAGCTAGTCGCCGAATATGCTCACTTTCTTTATCCTCAGCCATCTGAACTGCAGCTCCAGAGCAAAAGAAAAATATCTGAAGGTTTTCTTGGCTGCAATTCATCATGACACATGAGAACTGCAGCCCCTGACAGGCTCCTTTTCAGCAGCACTTGGCAAGATGAAAGCAGTCAATTGTTTGTACTGTAATTTCAAAAAAGCAGTTTACAAATGAGAAAATAATCAAGTATAATAAATACATTTCTCTTAAAAACAGATGAGCCCACGATCCTGGAGCACTCTTTTCAGAAGACAAAAACCCATGATTTTCTGCTCTGGAAATGCACTTTGTGGGAGATGCTATGTATTGATGACCTGCAGGCAACTGTCTCTCCAAAACCTTTCAGAAGAACAGATCACCATAGGAAGTTTCAAATGCAACCTCTGAGTAAAAGTCTTCAGGAAGGTTCAGTAGCTCCAGACCAGAGCCATCAGCAATCATCAAGCTCCTTTACAGTCCATCACTGCCATTTTTAGTACAGTTGTTACAAAGGCTTGGACTTCCCCCTCTCTCCAATCAATGTTTTAAGAGAGTGGTGCCAGTTTATGGAACTGAGATTCTTTGAGCTATCAAAGGCCAACTTAAGGCGGAGGATCTTCTCCTCGAATAGCTTTGTACTTTGCCATGTCTTCCGGGAACACCTTTGTCAGTTCTTGAATTAACAGACTTTTAAATTTCTGGAAAGAAAAAAAAATGTATATACATGACCTGCACAATTTATTTATAATGCATCAAGCAACGTTATCTGATGAACAAAAACTTTTGTTTGTATACAACGCAGTTCTACACTTCAGTGACCTAAGAGAATGGTATCCCCAAAAAAACCTAAAAACCACACACAAACACAGAAAGTTACAAATTCACAGAAAAAGCTCAAGTGAAATCCGCTGGGAAAGCATGATGCAAACTAAAATGCTTTTAATTTCCCATGAATTATCTAGCATTTTCACCTAAGAAATACAAAGTAGCTGGACCTCTCTGGTAAATTCTGGTGCATCAGTATCTGTCTGACCTTATTAAGCAAGGCTGAAAAAGAAGATATCCTCTTGATTTGATATGGAACCCCCTCCGGCTCCAAAAAGGAACTCACATCGGGCTTAGAAATACGTAATGCTTCCTTTACAACTTTTACAAGCACAGAGCATATTAAAATAAAGAGAAGCTTAGAACATATGGAGACACATCCACATTCTGCAGCACCAGTTACCATCTTCCACACTAATTTCAAAGTTCAGCCAAAGAACGCTCTGAAACACAAACAGTCCTTTCTCAAGTCTCACTAAACTTCTTTTTCTAACTGTATTTTTCAGCAGTAATTACAGCAGTTAACCAGCATACTAGAATGCTTAGGTTCATAGAATGCTTAGGTTCATACTAGATGAAAGTACAAGTTCAGAAAACCCTGAACACTGCCATACATCTTAAGTAGTTTTATAAAGATTAACTCATGCTTGTATAGCATGTTTGACATTTGAATACTCTCAGATCTATCCAAGACTGGAAAAATACCTCTTTTTTTTTTTGCTTATTTCTAAATTTACACACTTCACAGTTACAGATCTGTGGCAGTGTGAGGTACTCACCAGTATTCAAAATGAAAACAAACAAAAAAATCCCTAATGCTACATACAACTTTAACCAAAATAAAATCATAGCGACCTCTGCATCTCCACCTGTGGGATGAATTACAAGTTTCTTTTCCAGAACAGGCTGCATTAGCATCAATTAAGATACAAGGATGCAGAGCAATTCCTAATACGAATCACCTAATGAGGGAATTTAGTAACTGCACAAGCAAAAGACCTCCAGATCTTTACAGAAAAATAAAAACTTATCAAACACATTACTACATTTGTACTTTCAGTATTTCTGGTTTACCTTCATTGTGTCAATTTTTCCTTTTACTTGCTCATTTTTAGCCAAAGCTCGCTCCAGACACTCTTTAGTGTAAAGCTGAGGATTTCGGCCTTGATCTATGTATCTGAAAATAGAAAAAAATTCTACCCTAAATGATTATATTCCTACCAGGATGTTCTCCAAGGTACAGAATTATTCACCTTGCTGTCTTTTTGTTACTATTATTCTCCAAAACATGCGTTTTAAAAAACACTGTTTAATTCAGTCATTTTCAGAAGACAGCACAAGGAGGACTAGACTGTGGCCAGCAAACAGCTGTCTTGGCATGCTGTTCTAAATCTTTATTTTCAGAAAGCCTGGAGCTTTGAAAAAAATATTAAAAAACAAACAAAAACCGTATAACTACCCAGCTCCTCACAGGCAGTAAGTACACATAAATGACAAAAGATTGTCCTCTTCCAAGCAACTGAAAGGGCACTAACCACAGAGCAGCTCAGTTAGTACATGGTGAGCAATAAGCACCTAAGAATACGGCACTCAGCAATTCAAGGATGAGGAGGAAGCGCACATACCACAGTAAAGAGTAAAAATTAACACGTATGTGTATTTAACCTGTATGTGTATTTTTGCTTTGCAATCTAAGTGCCTTACAAAGGGAAATTCCATCACTGAATAAAGCAAGCAGAACATTTAAGACCGTGATCACACATTTACAGATAGAGTGAAAGGCCAACTGAAAAATGTCCTGTATAGCCAGCAATACACTAGAATACACCAGCGACATTTGAACTTACAAGAGACACCAGCAAATCAACTTGCCAGCTACATCATAAAAGCTGCCTTGCATAGTTCTCCCTCTATGTTCACAAGTCTGCTTTCCATGTTCTAATTCTCTGCCAACAAGGAGACTGCTACTACTAAACACCCAAGCACTGGCCCAATGTATTTTCACCCGCAACTTTAAAACCTGATTCTAACCTAGCGTAAAAGCATATTTCCAAAATGAAAGCTCACTTGCTACATCAGTAGATTCGGCAGAATCTGTATTACTGCCTACATAGGTAAAGTCAATGTTAATATCAAAGAATAAAAGAGAGCTCCAGACAACAGGCACGGAGTTTGTCACTTCTGCTGCCGTTCTCCCCCAGACTGAGGGTCCTTCTGCCCACCTCCTGCTCACTCTCGGCAGACGGAGTTTAAGAAACAGGCGGTCCACGGGGAAAGCACCCACGGCGCCTCAGCCCGCGCCCGCCGCGGCGCCTGCCCTTCCAGCCACAGAGCTACTCACTCAAACACCTCCAAGGGCACGCTGATGTCGTGAAGCTGCTGCCGGCACTTGTCGATATCCTGCAAGCCCGTCACCATGAAATTCCTGCAAGAAAACGGGGTCGGGTTTAGCCAAAAAAAGGGGCGCGCTCTAACCCTGGCTGCCAGCCCGGCAACCCGAAACCCTCCCACGTCTCGCTACGGCGGCGGTTTTTTATTCTTTGCTATTCTTAGCTTAATGCTTTTTCTCTTTTGATAATTTTTTGTGAGACTGCTCCAATCACTTGCATTAATTTGTAAATGAATCTAAGTATTTCTGCCCAAAAGTTGACTTAAAGTTGAGTTCTGCAGGTACAAAGCTTGCAGCTCTAAGATGTAAACAGAATTCATCTGCCCAGAACCCTACATTCTCCTGGATGAAAAATATCTCTGCTGTTATTTGGAGCAATGCCTGGGTGCATTTGGAATATGTTCAGGGTCTCAAATGAGAACGGGGGGGGGAGGGGGCTGTTATAACGCTAAAAGGAACGCGATACAAACATAAGTTCTATAAGCCCCAAGCTGCACAAGCCGCTGCGTGCCTCGGGCGTTCTGGGTCTAGCGATCGCAAAATAATGAGAGATATTTTCTTTTTTTTTTAAACCCCGAAGGCAATCAGTACCAAACTATAATTAGCATCCTTTATAAATGCTGGGTAATTGGGAGTCTGACAGCGCGCATCGCCCCCCCGGCGCTGCTTTCTTTTCTTTTGTTACCACCTAAGGTCTCCAGGAATTTCCCAGTAGATCCCGGTGGAGCGGGAAGCGTGCGACGGGATGAACGGCATCCTCCAAAAAAATTGCCAGCGCCCCATCCGAAATGGCGAGATTTGAAAACTCACTGCCGACTGCGATGGCCGGCATGTACATCTTGCAGCGTCTCTCCGCACGGCTGCTTAAAGACACAGTCTTTCCTGCCAGCCCACTCCCACAAAACCGCTATAATCCAATCTCCTTGCTGGTTTTTTGTCAGTTATCCTTTTCTCTGCCCTCAACAATTATCGGCACATTGCTTATATTTTTAGGCTATCATTTGGAATCTTTGCTTTCGAGCGGTTCTCCTTCCTGTGTTGCACAGACATAAAACCACAGAATTGTGGAACAGAATCACGGAATCATTAAGGCTGGAAAAGACCTCTCAGATCATCAAGTCCAGCCCACAGAATCACAGAATCATTCAGGTTCCTCACTGTCAGACCCGTTCAAAACGTGTCTCTGGCTCGGATTTGCTGAGCTCTAGCCCTGATCCGTTTGCAGTGCGGAGCCCTGCTCCCTTCTTGAAAGCTTTCCAAAAGGGCGTCTCCATGCTTTTTCCCGTGCTGCCCTTTACTGTTAGGTGGGGCTGCCTGCGGCTATCCTATCACTTCACCGCATCCCATCAGATTCCTCGTTAAATTACTTGCCTCGCTGCCCACAGCTGCAAGCTGCTGCCTGCCGGTGCGGGCTCCGGGCCAGGGATCGTCCCTGCGAAGCCCTCAGCACAAAAGGACCTCGCTCGTGGGCGAAGGCCGTACGCGCAGCCGGGGTGCGGGTAACTGCGCAGGTCTAGAGAGCAAGGATTGCTCTGCCTGCCTCGCTGCCCGTGTCTGGTCAGCAGACACGCTCAGCCCACGCCTGATCCCACTCACAAAGGGACCCTTCAGACTCCCCTTTCATCCGGCAACGAAAACGCACACCCGGAGCTTGGGATACCTGGATTTCAATCTCTCTTTTTTACCCAGAGGGATCAGAGCCTACAAAAAGCCTTGACCTCCAAGGCTAGGATATATTTGGCAGCAGGGTCCGTTCAGTCCCTGTGGCCATTCTGCTTTGTGCAGAAATTGTTTCATGAGCAACGGGACGACATTGTCTGGCATACCACACGAAAAGAAATGGAGGAGCCAGCGACTGGTTGTCTGATAAGGGCTCATTATCTTCCCCACCTGTCTTCTACCTGTTAATTACGAGTGTTTTTCTAAACTGTGTAAGAAATAGAAGCGGTAACAGACAGGGGTTCACTTGATAATAAAAACCACAATGCAATTATCAGGGGAATGACGAAATATCAGTCTATGTTAAATAATCCAGCTATCGTTTTCTGTGTGGGAAGATTATTTTACACACTTAAATTCCCGTGGCACATCACAATAACTGTATGCTTTATAAATAGCTGATTTCCAGTATGTCTGTTTTCAGCCGAGCCTGGAAAATGTCAGTCCAGTAATGTCAGCAGGTAAGAATCTGATGCTTTGATTCACAGTGAAGGATTTGAATGAATGTTTGAAATAAGAACTAAAACAGATATGATATTCAATCAACAGATTGAAAGTATTCTATGCATTTCTAGCTATAACTCGCGACTGTTTCTGTTCCACAATGAGAACCATGAGAATCAGCAACTCTTAATTTCTTGGATATATCTTTTTATTAGCTTTATTTTTTCCATTTATGATATCAATGACAACAATAAAAAGGTAAAAAACCCTCGGATGGCCAGTTTCTGTTCTGGGTTGCCACGCTAATTCAGTAGCAGAAAGCTGGGTCTTTGCTAAATATAAAGCACTCTTCAGGAGTTTGTAAGATTGAGTACGCTAACCCAAAATTAAAAAGCAAGTGACTGTAAAGAGCATTAAATATTAAGGAAAATGTAGTACTGTGCAAATGTGAAATTGTAAAAACAATCCTAGGCTGCAAAAAGCAATTAATCACTTCTAGGCCGTGACAAGTATTGTCATCCTACAATAAAACAAATCCATTGCTTATTGATCAGCAGTTGCTGACCCTCCTGTTTCCATAGCTGGCAGAACGTTCTCTGGACAGCAGAAGTCCCAGGATCACAAGATGTTAATACAAGTACTTTGCACTGATCACATGAGAGATCTTGGTCTGAGGAACAGAATAGCTTTTTCGAATATTTGGGAAGGAAGGGTAGAGAATATGGTGTACTTACCAGATTAGATCTGAATGTGAGGAACAGGGGGGCTGAATTTTGAAAGAACCGTCTAAATACATGCAATTGTGTCAGACATGGCTCTGCAGGCACAGGAGGTTGGGATTCAGACAAAAGATTTGCTTTATATCCATCTTTGCTTACGGGCAAACAAATTCAGCAGAAGAAAGTAGCAGAAAATCTTATTTTAAACTCCGTAACAAAAATGGGCTTTGAGGTACTGTTAAAACTTCCTCTCCTTCCTCTTTGTGGGAAAGGCCTTGGCTGTTGGGACTGAGCAAACATGACTTCTAGCTTGCTTGTGATGACTGGAGTCTGATAGATGTCCATTACCACATCTAACCCGGGTAAAGTATGTGACAGAAAAAAGCAATGGAAGTTGAAGATCAAATGTAGAGATATCCAGCTGATCTTAAACCTATATTTACTAGGCTAGTTAGGTTAGATTAGTGAATTTTGTTAGAAAAATGTGTGCAGTGCTCTTAAGATTAAAATTTGCTATAAATATGAGTTGTTAATTTTTCTCATGATCACCAACTTGGGCAGTGTTTTCCTGTTTCAGGAAAAAAAGTAAAACAAAGAAACTTGTGTTCCAATGAAAGAGAGAAAGAGAGAGAGAAATGAAGGAAGTCTGACAAATAACTCAATCAATCAATAGGTACATAAAGACAGAAAGACTTAGAAAGAAAATGTCATAGTTCATGATGTAAGTAACCATATTGCACTCCTACCCTGATTTCCATGCACAGAGAGGGCAATTACTGGCTTGTAACCCGGACATCTGCACTGGGCAGTTATGTAGAGTTTGTAATAAAGGATAGAAAGAGAGGCTGTGTGGATCAATACGACTCATTTGGGAAGAGTAGCACAGATTACATAAAAGAAAATCCTATTTTGTAAACCTCTAATGAATTTTTCAAGGGGTCAGCAAGCACGTAGGTAAGAGTGATCTAATTGATACAATCTGCTTGAATTTCCCATCAGTAGATGTAAATGGCTTCAGTACTAGGAAAACATGAACAGACAGGGACTCTTCAGCCTGAGAGAGAGCCCACTGATGAGAGCTATGACCAATACTTTGCTGTATCTATAAAGCCATGAGTGGTCTGGAGCGTGGACTGTCTTCCAGCACAAAAACTAGGGGCCATCAAATTGAAGCCAACAGGAGACAGCTTCAAAACATGCAAAAATAGATTATTTGTGTCATGCAAGGTTTAGTAGCCTTGTAGAATTGTTTTCCAATGGATGCTATGGACAGCAAAAGCTTATCTGGGTTGAGGGGGAAAGGAGACAAATGCTTGGTAGAGAGAGTCAGAGAGAGGTAGACAAATGACACCTGGCTCAGGAAATCCCGTAAACCAAAGGCAGTCCAAGCCTGGGAGAGTAGTCAGGAGTGTCCTCACAGACCTTTTTCTTGTCCTCACTCTTTAGCATTTGCTTCTGGTTACTGCTGAGCACAGTATACTGGCCGGGATGGAGCCTTTATGTGCATCTGTGTGGTTACTGTTACGAGGTCCTGCCTGCTTGAATTGTCAAAGAACGGCCTGAGCTGTGTGGGATGTAGACAGATTGCAGAGTTGTTTCTTACCAAGCAGAGCATGAAAAGGTTGATTTGAGACTATTTATATGGCCTTCAAGTCAGGAAAAAGCTCAGCTCACTGTTTTCTTATCTGGTGGTACATATAGTCCAGATAAATTACTTTTCTGGTATAATATGGCACAATGTTAAAGATTTATTACTGAAAGTGCTGGTGTAGTCACTTTTTCTTCTCAGAAACATAAAAAGCATCAAATAATTCATGTTTGTCCATCTCTGGAACTGTGATTCTCCTCCCAGCTCCTGTTTTCTGCTGCTGGCCAATAAAGTGGGAGTAGTGAATAAAGAAAATAACCCATATCGAGTTCCAGCGATGTAGGTTTTCTCTCCTTCTGTCTTTCTCATTTTCTGTCTTTGTTACTATTTTCTTCTGCAGGATTGTGTCTAATGCATCGATCGCTTCTCCCTCATTCTGCAGACCCAGAAACGGAGGTAGAAATTTCAGGTCATTAACTGGGAGCATCACTTGCCTAAGAATTCCATGCTATGAGCCGGCTACCCTTCTTCGTTTTAATTACAACAGGTGCTAAGCAAAAGAGAAGCAGGGAAGATAGATGTAAGCAGCACAGAGAATACCATTTACCTGCTCTTGATACATCGGGCTGATGGTACTTTATGTTTAGGATGTTTTCTGACTCACACAGAAGCATGCTGTATTTTCACATTTTACTGCATAAAAATAATGTGATACAATAAAATAAACTTTTTTTAAAATCCCATTATTTAGCTGAATAAGAGGTGTAATTATAGTTTCCATACAGATTTGGTATTTAGCAACTTGCTCATTAATGACTTGAAATAATACACTACTTACCACAAATTAGCAGGATGATGCATTTATGCACCATGGCTGGATCTCAGTCCTACTGAGAACATCTGAATTTATTTATCTAAAAAGCAGCAGGATCAGGATTTTTTTCATACAATAATTTTTGCTCCTCCAAATCCCGTAGATCTTGAGATGTTCTGGGACCTGATCCAAGATAACTGAGCCCTGTGGGACTCTTTCTATTGATGGTAAAGGATATTGGATGACAGGGTCTGTTCTCACAACTCTGGCACCAAGGAGGTCAGCAAGACACAGCAAAGGACTTGTATGTATGTCTCAAGACAGGAATATTATTTCCATAGTGTAATAACAATTAATCTAGATCTGCAGTACTGAAAACTTTTATTTTGTAGTACCCTTAATATCCCATACAGAATTAATTCTTAATTTTATTTTTAAAAAATATGCTGAGAGATCAATAGAATTATCTGGG